AACCAAACTTGTATCGCTCCTCTCTCTCTCTCTCTCTCTCTCTCTCTCTCTCTCTCTCTCTCTCTCTCTCTCTCTCTCTCTCTCTCTCTCTCTCTTGGTCTTCCTCTTCGTCGTGGTCTTCTATGCAGGTGCGCGGCGGCTTCTCCCACCTTCGGATCCGCTATGGCGAACTATACCCCTCGGCGACCACCTCTGCTATGGCGCTTCAGGCCCTGCACACGACGGCGCGCATGGAATAGCGGTACCAGCTCCGATACCAATGCAATCAGACTTGCTTTCATTCACACTTTACATGCACGCAACAGTAGCGCAGCAAACTGGCGACATGCGCCCACTCAAAACTCAATGATATGGTAACCCAGATAAGAGTTCACTTCCAAAGGCTATGGCGACTCAGCGCCCAAACAACTCTCTGTCGCATACACCGGATCACCCTGGATATCCCACACACGTCACTCTGAACACTCACACATACACACACACCTTCACACTAAGCCACAGCTATGGCAGCTATGGCTGCCTCTACCCTATCGCTATGCTACGCTCCTTCTTTCTTGCCCACTTCGGCTCCGGGCTCTCTGCAGACCTCCTTGCACAAGTCGCTATGGCAGCGCTTCCGCATGGCTCATGCAGGAATGAATGAATGGCTGGGCGCTGCCTCTTGATTTATACTTCTGAAACTCGGTGGTCTGCCCCTTTCCATCGGCCCATGGTGCTCACAGTCCCCCGTGGTACTTGTTGGACCGGACTGGGACTGACTGGACCTTACCGCTGACTGACTGTGGACTCACTGCTATCCTACCGAGGTCGGACTGCGATTGCACTGCAGTTTAGTCCACCACTTGACTCACCACTTGACCACTTGCCCACTTGCCGACCTTCTAGAAGGACTACACCTAGACTTCTGGAACTCGCTAAGACTTCTACTCTATAGGTCTACAGATCGAACCCCTGCTACCTATGGACCTATGACAAACCTACCAGCTGTCTACGAATACACAGGTCACAGGTTCAACTCTCGGGGTCTACACCGATACTGTACATGGGTAGGGTGAGATCTAGGGATCGAGCCCTGGGATCTGCATCTGTTACGTCTAGGGATCGAGCCCTGGGATCTGCATCTGTTAACTACAAAGAGGTGAAAACCGTTTCAACTCTTGAGTCTCCACATGTTGCAAAACGAGAGAGTGAATTTTCCGCTAGAATATGGAAATGATTTGTCTTTTGTGCATGTCTAGGGTAGCGGAACGAGGCCCTTCGTCAATGCGGGGCACCTCCCGCTGGCCACTAGGCCTCTTCTTCTGGCTCATAGATTTGCTTGGCGTGCCACGTGGCAAGAGGTCTGGGCTGCACAGCCTCCAACCCCGTGGCATTGACGTCGAAGGCGACCTCCATGATGTAGGGATCTACACCATGTTCAGGCTACATGACCTCGGTTGTGTATCTCCGAAAATTGCAGTATAGCGATACCAAAAGACATTACTGGCCGTGTGTCTTTCCTTTTTTTCGCGCAGGATTAAACCACCCAACCGTTATTGTGGATGACATAGCCAGCGGTCATATATACTCGCTCCGCTACTCTCGACATTGAAAACAGCAGACACCGACCATGCATATTTCAAAATAGAATTATGGGGGTGGATCTATCCATGTTCTTACAGAGTATTCAGCCTCTTTTCAATTTCAAAGAGACATGGAGCGAGGGGAAAGTGAAACAGAGGTTGAATCGTCTACAAGAACATGGAAAGATACACTGCCATATTTTTTGTTTCTGTTTTTTCTTTGGGTGTTTTCTGCATCTGAAGAGCGGCAGAACGAGACTCCATGACAGGAAGGTGGCAACTTGGCAAGCTTCTCCACAATCGCGCTTTCTTCGTGTTTTTTTTTTTATCTCAAGCAGTTCAATGCTCACCAAAGCAAACAAAAAAAGAATCAAAACAGAAACGGTGACCAAATATAAACAACGGGAAATCTAAAATGGTTTTTTTTGGTTGAAACCTTGCAACTTTGCCACCTCTCGCATGCACGACACCGGGAGAGAGAGAGAGAGAGAGAGAGAGAGAGAGAGAGAGAGAGAGAGAGAGAGAGAGAGAGAGAGAGAGAGAGA